AGTTAGTGAGCCATACTAACCTTTCTGAGTTTGTCTCTCCTGTGAGAAGTTATTGTTGCCCTGCTGGAGACCGTAGTGGTCAGCACCAGGCTTACCCCTCACAGGCTGAGCAGGACAGGTGAATTAGGATCATGGGATCACAGGTGGGAGGGGACCTCTGGAGCTCTTCTAGTCCACCCCCTTGCTCAGATCAGGGCCAACTTTAAAGATGGATGAGATTGCTCAGGGCCATTTCCAGTTGAGTTTTGATTGTCTTTAAGCATGGAGGTTCCACAATCTCTCTGGAGAACATGTTCCAGACCACTGTTTCATGGTAGATTTTAAGTTGATATAACTTGGTAGTGCTGCTGAAAGAATCGGTCTTATCCTATTTCCCTGCTTGTTATTCCCCAGTTCAGCAGTGCCCTTTCCATGTCTTGGCAGGAGTATTTGTTCAGCTCCATGACATATTGGATCAGGAAACTGATCTGAATTAAATTGGGAGTGACTGATCTGATTCATTGTGTAACAGCGTGAAGTGTCACGCTGGCACAAGGAAGGAGGGAAGAGAGGTGGGGAGGGGTTCAGAAGCCAGGCTGAGGAGGGGTAGGACAGCTTTTTTCTTTCAATGACATCTGCTCCTGCCAGCTTGAAGTGTTTGTGAAACAACTTTAATGTGAGGAAGCAGCATGGTAATGGATTACAATGAATTTCTACTTGACAGAGAGGAGCCTAGAGTGTAAATGAGTAATAGGTGTGTCTGTGATTCCTTAGGATTCCTGACAAGATGCAACTCAAAAGGTTTTACCTTAGGCTGATTCTTGAGGTCTTCCTTTTGACAGTGCACAGAGAAGTACAAGTTCTGGAAAGCTACGTGAAATTAAGGGTACCTTGTCACAGTGATCTGTGGAAATGGGAGGCTGTCCTTTAGGCACAATGTTGTTTTGGGTGCCTTTATTATCCTGGTCATACAAATAGTTAGAGCAGCTGTGCAGTGTGTGATTTACTCACTGTTATTCCAGAATTTCTGTAGCAATGCTGTGGGTGAAATAGCTTTGTGTGATTCAGAGGACTTCCCTTTCACTGTAATGGCTTGGCTTTGCCAAGTGTGAATTGTGTTTGCCAACATCAAAAGATCTTGTAACCTGGATTCTCAGGCATATTAGGAGCTTCTTTTTTTTGCAGGAGACATCTCTATAAAGTCAACTAAATCAACGATGTGTTCAGCATTTGTGTGATAAATATCATGTGAGAATTTGACTTCATTTAAGAGAAGTTTTGGCAGATGGTACAAGATTGTGAAAATAGCTCATAATTGTAGCAATATTCTTAATATTTATTTAAACTGATTCCTGGCTGAACTATAGCTCTAAGGAATTCATTTACTACATCTCTTCCGTTTTCACTGTCATGTTTGAATCAAATGTTGGGATCAGTAAGAGAAATCTGGAAGGGCTGGCTGCTTTAGTCAGGACAGATCCTCTCAGCTTATTATGATCATCATACAAAACACATTAAATCATTTTGGTAGCTTTTTTGTGGTAATAATTTCAATACTACAAGGCAAAACTTGTGTAGCACTTTGCTAAATGTGGTAGAACAGAGAAAATGCTTCTGCTGTACAGGGTGTACATCATGTGGTTTTGATTGTTGTGGTGTTATAAGCTCAGCGGTGACATATGGTGCTGTCATATCCAGAAAGTCACTGAAGGGTCAGGGTGGATTTCTGAGTTTCTATTTGTTGCTGATTCCAGGTGGAAATGACTCCTCATTTTGGTCAAAATAATTTATCTGGGTCTTGTCTACAAAAGAAATGATTACACTGACTAAAAATTCTAACCTGCGTTGTAGAGACTGTATGTGTCCATCCTTATGGACACCAGCTGACTTTGGCCGCCTTGTCTGAAGAGCATTGCTAGGCCTAAGAGAGATGTTAAATTCGGCAGCAGCTGCTGCCTCCTTTATTCATTTCTGGATGGGTAAAGAGGAGGCTTTTAAATCTAATGGTATCTTTGGATTTGTTCCCAGTTCCACTTTCACTGGTATCAGGAATTAATATTTCCTTCCTCTGTCTGAACATCCTTCAGAGTTGTGTGTGAGCTCTTTGTTAAGTACGGTACTCCTGCATATCAGAGACTGTTCGAAGACTTTTGCAAGTGTAACTCTTAGCTGTCTCTTTTCTGTTGCCACCAGATATGGCAATTATTAAGGAATAGTTAATTGGACCTGTAATTTTTAGACAAAAAAGATAAGGCATCTGTATGGACCCACAGAAAGAGATTTCAGTCCAATTTTTTCATCTTACTTGCTTCTGAGACTTTTGTGTTCTCGCAGCCTATAAACAGATTGCATGCTCTTCCATGCTGCAGGCAATCCATTCTACATCTACATCTTTTTCATTCTCATTGTATAAACCAGGCTTTTTTCACTCTCTTGGAAAGGGCATTCCTCTAGTGGCTCATCTGTAATTGCCAACCTCGTGACAGCAGATCAAATATTCATGAGTGAGAACTGGCTTTCTGCACTAGCTGTAAATCCTTATACCCAGTCCCTGCAGGGCAGATGAGTGGGCATCTACCAGCAATTCAGCCAATTAATACTAGTAGGCCTTAATCTTGTGTAAACAGCTGGAGCCATTCTTCAGTTCCCACCTTGGGGGAACTGAGCTGCTGCTGCCTTTTGCAGCTCTGATGCCTTTTTTCTCCTTTACGATGTTTGGTGTTTCTCAGAGTGTGGGTCCTATGTAGTCCTCTTACAGGTTAATTATGCATCTTTGTACTTACACACAGGAACCTGCTTCAAGAAAACAGTACATGCATTTGAGATAAAAACAAGGTGGGAAGTCAGAAACATATGTGCAGCTAGCTCTGCATTCAGAAATAACCACAAAAATCTAAAATAATCTTTCTTTCTTTACAGGTTTTATTACTATGTAAAGAAGCAAATTTCAGATTTAAACTCATCTCTGGAGACAAAATAGAAAAGAAAATGAAATCTTCCCAAATAACTTGCAAGATAAAGATGAAAACTGAACAATGAAAGATAAATAAAAATACATTATTTTCTTGATTATGTGAAATTGAAACCTTAAATAGCCCATTTATTTACAAACCCATGAATCAAAAAGTGTTATTGAGATTTTTATGAGCTTGCTTCATATAGCTCTGTTCAGTGGCTCTGAATATGCTGCTGTGCATGTTGGAATCCTGTGAGAGGGAACAGAGAAAGACTTCACAAGAACTATCACTCTAAAGAACTGTAATGCTGGGTGTGGGTGTTTGCTCTACTGTAGAAACTTCTTTCTGGTACATGTATATTCTGTAGAAGTCTTTATTGTTAGAAAAATCCCAAAAAGTATTAATGACAATTAGAACTAGCAATGGCTGGTGTGTCAGCTCGTCACTTCAACTTGTTTGATTTCAGGACTGTAGAAGCACAAAGGATAATCTCAGTTTTCTTCTTCCCACAACTTTTGCATGTTTCTCAGATTTTTCAGCTTGTCCCTGTCCCCCTCTTCCCACCCCAGCAGTCTCTCACAATTGTATTACCAGTTCCTCTGTTCTGCCTCAGACCTTAGATCTATCAACATTCTCAGCCTATGTGCCTGTGAACGATACAGTGGATTACCCTGCAGTACTCTATAGCAAGGACGTAGTATGATTAATATTTCCTCCATCAGCCAGGCCAGTTTAAACTTTTCCTTAAACAGATTTGACTGAAAAAATAATCCAGCAAAATACCCTGCAGTTATTTTTAACTTGGCTCAATACCTGAAAACGGCTTACTGTGTGGCCACAGAAACAGTTATCCCAGAACAACTGACGGGATGGAGTTGGGGGAAGAACAATAATGAGGACCAGCAGTAGCTGAAACTGTTGATCAGTCTGCCTTCAGTCAGGTTGTCTACTGAACCGCAAATGTGACCTGTAGCCAGGTGCAGTCACCAGTTGCATGTTCTAAGAGTGGTCTTCATGCTGTATTTTCAGCTCTGGCATACTTTAAGGGCGGAAGTCACAAGGATGGAAGCAGTCTGTTTGCAGTGGTGTCCAGCAACAGGACTAGGGGCAATGGGTGCAAACTGAAACATAAGAGGTTTCAGTTGAATATGAGGAAAAACTTTACTCTAAGGGTGACAGAGCACTGGAACAGGCTGCCCAGGGAGGTTGTGGAGTCTCCTTCTCTGGAGATATTCAAAGCCTGCTTGGATGAAGTCCTGTGTAGAATGCTCTAGGTGAGCCTGCTATAGCAGGGGGGTTGGACTAGATGATCTCCAGAGGTCCCTTCCAACCCTTGCGATTCTGTGATTCTGTGATTCTGTGATTCTGTGATACCAACTGCGTTTATAACCTTTGCAAGTCATTTACCTTCTATCGTTTTAATCTGCAAAACTGCAATAATGAATTTCTCAATAGGGCATGGCTGTGGCAGCGCTTTTACCAGTGGAGATACTAATGTGAACACACAGAGAAATGCCACAGAAGATAACGAGGACTAGATACAGAATTGACTGGGTTGCATGGAGAGTCCAGTTATATATTTATTTAATGCTTTTCTCAGCTTTAGCAGTTTCTACCTCTCCTTCTCCTGACAACTTATTCTTGCTTTGACTGTATCCATGGGAGGGACCAATTCAGTTGCCAGATGAGAAAAAAGTGTACTTTTTTTTTGGTTGTTGTTCACATTACTTTTCAGCTGAATCAGTTACTTGACCTGGCTTACTATACAGCCTACAAACAGCTGTTATTGCAAAACTGAAAGCAGCACAGAAACAGATACGAACATTTGGGAACAAGAGCTGCATTTTCTGCTGCTGCTTCCCAAAAAGATGTACCAAGAGCCATGCCCTCAGTGGCTGCTGAGTTTGAGGACCAGACCCTTGAGCAACCTTGAGTAATGATTCTTAACATTGATATTTCCATGCAGCTGAAATAACTGAAGTATGAACTTTTAAGTGTGGGGAAACCAACCACAGAGTTAAAAATATGTCACATATCTCTTCTTTCATCAAACTCCATCCTCAGGAATTTTTTTCCATGAATATCCTGAAGAATAGAATGGCACCCTAATATGTTATAACCTGCTTCCTTGCCTGCCACTGGCACCAGATAAATTACGGTAAGATTGCCATAGACCTGCCCGTTTATTTTTAAATGATTGGTCTCTAAGTAGCTGTAAATAAGGCTAATCAAGATGGAGATTTTTTAATCATCTTTTCATCCTTCAGTAGATCAAGCAGTATGTCCATACTAAACTTGATCAGTATCCAGAAATACTTAATTTATGGAGCGCACATGACTGAACATTGAAACTGGGCCAAATATTGCAGTAATTGCCGGATAATCCTATGTTTTCTGGTTTGTCAGAGCTTCTCTAGAGACTGCAAATTCTGCTTGGCTTATTTAATCACTATGCAGTTGTCTTTTAGAAGCCTAGTAATTTCTAAATTATTATTGTGCTGTGTATATATCCAAACATTTACACTGCACTGTAATATTTGAATGGTGGACTGCATAAGCTAAACAAATGAGATGAACTTTTTATATTTGTCATTTTTTTTGTATAGGCATAAATAATTTAATATGCGGTTGAATCTTCTGAAAAAAATTACTCATCTTCTAACATTTTTTAGGAACTTTTTAACTATTATGTGTAAATATAACTGTGCATAGTTATATTTTAACTTCTTACTATTATTTGTAAAGTTTCCATTGAAATGAATGATCAGTACGTTGAAAGGCCTTTGGAAACAATGAACCATATATTGAACTTTGCTATAGTTATATTTGAAGAAATTAGTGTACTCCTACTACCGTTACCTGGTGGCTGTGTGTCAGGCTCTACCTTGCAGTGCGGTGCTTTGGAAGTTAATGATCTAGGTGTGGGTCGAGGAGAACAGAGACCATAGTGAATACTTCACACTTGTATAAAGCTTCACCTGAGAGTCCTCAAGAACTGTTTGTGGGTTTTGGGGTTTTTTTTGGTTTTGGTTTTTTTTTTTTTCCAGATAGTGGTCATGTTTGTACAAATCATAAGAGCAGTATAAGTTTGGTTAGCTGTGGTAAACTGAAGTAGATCTCAGTCACAGACTTGTTACATTCAAGTAATGCTGCTGCTATCACTTCTTTGGAAAAAAACAAGGTCATCAGAATATACTGCCTTGAAATCACTATTTGTGATCACCAGGCATGCTCCATTGGACCCATGGGAACTGTTTACAGTTAGTGAGGTAGAATCACTGCTTTTATTTTCACTGTAATGTAATTTTGTAGAGTATTCTGTGTTTTCCTAAAAAATAAACAAAAAGTTAACTTTAAGCATACCAGTTTGAATAAACTAAATGGCTAGCATCCACAAATAGATCAAATCAATACTCTATTTTAGTTACGTGGCATCTTATTTCTTACAGAAATTTCAGAACTCGAGCACCTTCCATAGTAAGTAGCTGCTTTTCTTTTGGCATTTTCTGTATTGAGGAGCCTCTGTTAAACCAGTGGGTCTGCTCATGTGAATACCTCTTACCACATGTGATTATGCTAATATAACTTTTTAGAAGTAGATCAGTTAAAAATGAAAAGCTAAAAAATGTCCAAAACCCTAAATGAAAGTGACTGGAGGCAGTCACTTGCCTTGCCAAATCCCATTCATTTAGGGAGTTTCTCAGGCTCCATTTAAGAGGCAATGATGTCTACTGCAGAGCTCATGCTGTGCCCTTTCTTTCTCTCCATATCAAATAGGTTCTGTAAAACACAGAAAAGTGTTTTAGAACATCTTTATCTGAAGAGCCATTATAGGTCAGATAGTAAACTTTTAATTTGCCAGTACGATGTGCAGAACTAGTCAGTGGCAGCTCTTCCTGTCATCAGGAGGGAGTGTTTGTTCTTGGTTTCGTACACAGCCAGATATGTGCTTTATGGTGCTGAAATTTTCTGCCTTTCGACACATTGCAGTCTGGTGGTGAAAAGTACTATTTCAGAATATATCTGCTTCTTTCCAGTCAATAAGCAAGCTGCCAACTAGGAAGCTGCAAGAGACAATTTTAGAGATAAAGGTTCTTGGCTCGTTTCTGAGATAACTTCAATACTGCAGCATGTGAAGTGCATTGAGTGAAAGTCCTTAGCATTACCTGGAAAATGTATCTCTAAAGATACCTATTTTGAAACCACAGTTCCAACCAGAATATGTAATGAACTCAGTAAGAACACTAGCAGCACATTCCCCTTGTTAGATACTAAGGAGAGAAAGGCAACCATGCTGACTTATGCATGACTCAACCAAGCAGAATACTTATGCAAGTGAATATTTTGCTTTACACCAATTTCTTCATGTTACCACTAGTAGTCAGGCAGCTCTGGAAGCTGTTTATTCCTTGCTTGTGGGGTTTTCTGCTGTATTACATGGTTGCCAATAGTACTGTGTTTTTCTCTATTACTGTAAAATGAAACACTAAGTAAGGGGACTGTTGGATACTGTGGACTTTTTCAGTTCAGGCCACTTACTTGTGCCTGTACATGGAGTTCTAGCCACGTTTTTGGGGTGTGCAGGTACAACCAAGAGTTGGACACAAAGACGAAGATGATAAGATCTAAGTGGCATACTAGGAAAAACATCTTTTCTATGGCATTATGAATGGTTATGAATGAAGCAAACCTACATTTGCTAAAGTCCAAAAAGTTCTGCAGTAATTTAGATATGAACTGCAAAAAGTTGTGTTGAAAATTTAATCAGTGTAGGGGTATGAGAGAAAACACGTTAGATGTGGTATATGGGATCTAAATGTGGCGTCGTTGTGAAGACACAGAATGAAGTGCAGGCTGGCAGTGATCCCCAAGATGCAAACCTGAGTGAGAGTGACTTATTTCTCGCAATAGCCCTTTGATTCCCCTCAAACACCAGGGAGACTGTGTATCCTTACAATAAAGAATACGGTAAGGATTCAGAGTAATGCATTTATGTTTTTGCAATAAATTAGCTATTTCAAATATGACAGCTTTCTTTAATGACTAGGCTTACTGTAATGTATTTTAAGTAAAATGCTATTTAGAAATGTCTGTGATTTGTATGTGTGTTTGTGTTTTATGTGTATTTATTTCTGAGACTTCAAACAAAATATCAGCATACTGAATTGTTCTTGGCTAGGCAATTTATTTTCTCTTGGGTAACTACTTCTGTGATAGTTCTTCAAGTTGTTTCCAAAATCCAGTAACATCAAGAATTTGCAGTTTGCCCAACATTATGAAAAGTTTCAGTATATTCAGTTCAACTTCCTTATTCTATGTTAGTTTGTGATATTTCTTTCAGTTTTGTTCTCATTTTCTATGTGAATTTCCCTCAACAGACCAACTTTAAATAGCTCAAACAGTAAATAATTCCGTTTAACTGAAACTGTTCGTTGATATCATGATATTCCTTGTCTGTTCAGTGGAGCAGAAGTACATTGATTATGTATTTGGGGCTTTATCTAGTTATGTCTTGAAAGCATGCAAGGATGGAGACCACACGACCTCTCTGGATAACCTGTTTCACTCCCTAATTTCATGCTGAAGAAGTTCTTTATATCCTCCCTGAACATCTCTTATTTCAGTTTATGTCCCACCACATACCGCTGTGACTCCATAACCTCACCACAGGTCCTGAAGGGTGTAGTGGTTGATGTTACCCCCAAATTGTCTCTTATCCTGGCTGAAGAAGCCCTGTTCCCTCAGCCTGTCCCACAGGTGAGTGTTCCAGCCTCTGACCAGCTTGGTCGCCCTCCCCTGGATTCATTGCTGTTTATCAGCATCTTTTCAGTGTTGGAGCAGGCAAGACTGGGCACAATATTCACATGCAGTCTAGCAAGTGCTGAGCAGAAAGCGACAATCCTTTCCCATTATATACTGTGTGCTTGTGTGATACATGCCGGGGTACTGTTGGCCTGCTTTGCTGCCAGGACACACTGCTGGCTTATGGCCAGCTTGCTGTCTACTGAGACTCCCAGGTTGTTTTCAGCAGAGCTGCTCCCCAGTCAATCAGTATCTAGCCTGTGTCATTACAGTGAGTTCTTTCTTCCCAAGTGCAGGACTCATCCTTGCGAAATTTTATAAAGTTCCTCTTGGCCCATTCTTCCAGCCTGTCTAGGTCCCTCTGAATGGCAGTTCTGCCATCAAGTACATTGTTCCCACATTGTGGGAACAGTTTGGTGTCATCTGCAGAGTTGACAAGAGCACACTTGATCACCTCTTCCAGGTCCATGATAAGGATTTTGAACAGGACACATCCCAGTACTATTTATCTAGTTATTTTATCATAACAGGCAATAAGGCTGGTCAGCCATGATTTACCCTTGATAAATCTATGCTCACTTTCCCAATTGTCATCTTCCTGTGCCCAGAAATATGTTCAAGGAGGACTCGCTCTGTGATTGTCCTCGGGGCTAAATCAGGCCAACCACCTTGAAGTTGCCCAGGCTGAGCTTTTTGGCCTTTTTTTGAAGATGGGCTCAACATTTGCGTGAGCAGCCTCCTCTGATGTCCATGACCTCTCAGAGATGACAGAGATAGGCCTTGCAAGAGCACTGGACAGTTTGCTCAGTGCCCTTATATGCAGCCTCTTGGGTCCCATGGACTTGTATGCGTGAAGTTCTCTCAAGCATTTCTGGATGTGTCAGTTGTTTCTGTAAGAGAGCTGTAGTTAACAATTACATGTCTTTCTAGGTCTCTGTACATGTTGTTCCTTCCATTGAGACTTGGTTGACATTTTACACTTTAAGCAGTTTCATTTCCTTTCAAAATATTGTGCCAGATCACCTTCCAGGTCAATGTAATAATTGTTTAGCTGAAATTCACTTTAATTACATCACTTCCTCTATGGAATCTTCCTGGAATTTAATGTTCATGATAAGAAAATCCTGTATGGTAATGGTGGTGGCAGCTCATGATTATGATAAAGGATATAATTGTTTAGGTACAAGTAACACTTTTATTTTCTTTATTTACAGTGCTTTTGATAATCTCAGCAGATGACCCTAAAGTTATAGACCGTAAAGACAGTGGACATTCACGACTGTATTTCTAAATTAGATAAGAAAATAAATAAAACCCAAGGCATGCCTTCCCAGTCTCAGTGTTCACTGTTTAAAATACATATATATATATATATAGTGTAGAATAAAATATTATGTTATAAAGTCAGAGGTATCATTAAGAATATAATAAATAGCCATTAAGTTAACATGATAATCATATTTTAAACAGCGCATGCTTTAGAAATCCATCATTCTTTTTTCCTGAATGACAAAACATTGATTTCAAGCTAAGTAAAAAATTACAATTTAAGTTATATTTTGTAATAAAGCAAAGCCAGTAATACATAATAATACTTTCAAAAAAATAACATTTTACTTGCAAGTCAGAGCCAGAGTTACATTTTTTCATTATATTCTTAGGAATAAGTGCCCCAATTTTAGTTATGCCTGAGAAAACGAACTCTTTTAAATGTGTGAGATCTTTCCTGCTTAGAGCGTGTATGCAACTTTTTGGTCATTGATTCATAAGTTATGAATGTACATTAGCTTCCCAGTCTTCTGGTAAATTTTTATAATATTTTAAGAAATGCTAAAAGCACTGCAGTAAGTTTGAGGAAGGAATCCAGCATTGAGGAAAATGTAGTGATGGGCCATTAAGTACTTATATGAGAGATATTTTTTGCCATTTATGTGTCTTCTTTCTGTTACCTCATCCAGAAGGCTGACATAGTCTTCTGGTGAAGACCACTCAGATGTCTTGTCTTTCCTGCTGTATATCCAGACCTCCCCTCTCCTAATTTTTGATGGTTATGACACACTGTAGCTCTAGAGGTTATGGCTGTCAAGTAGGAGTTTTGATATTTATTCATGGTGAACAGGTTGGTGTTAGTAGATGCCACCATCTAGCTGCCTTAGTGCTGCTGCTTTCCAGCAAGAAGAGCTGGGTCTTTTTGACTTACCAGTCATATGGATGAGAAAAGCGTTTGTATAGGCAGGCAGCGGGTCTCATTTGGGCTGTGTCATTTGCTTGTGTGTGCGGACTTTCAGATGCAATTGCACCTGCTCACTGAGAGGCTTTCCTCCACTGTGCTCCAGGGGTAACTTACGTTAGTCTGTTTGACAGCTCTCTCAGGTAATGAAATGCTCCCACAGATGGTGCCAATCCTTGCTGGGAAAGGCATTGAACAGTTGTTCGTTATAGCTAAGACTAACGTTGACTGTGCTAGAGCTTTTCCTCTGCTCCATCAAAATGGTTTTCAGATACAAGGTTACTGGAAGCTGGCAATAAAGCAGAGAATGGTATGTGTGGATGTTGAGTTCGTCCTTCCTGTGTGCATTACACTGCTATAGTCTATGCTGAATTACAGCTGCCACATATCAAATAACTTGGCTGAGGCTTCTTTGAACTTTCTTGTCTTTTCAAACCTTGACTAACTTGGCTAGCATTGTTACACCTGTGATCTTGTAACTTTACTTTTTTTATCCTTTTCCAGATCTACAGTAAACATGTTAACAGATTTTCTAGATTTTTTCCTTGACTTTGTTGACTCTAGTTATGTAGACCTGGAGACAGTTCATAACTAACTATTTTAATTGGTTTTCCTATGTACATGCAAATGAAGAATAAAGAAAAAATATATATGCAGGTATATATCTCAGAATAAGAAATGGAGAAGTATGCTGCATTTAAACTTGTTATGCTTTTAAAATTGCTAATATATAGTGCTTTTCTGAAAAAAACCCACAGTGCAAGTCATGTTGATATTTATTGCATTTGATCTGACACTCATTATGTTTTGACTGCTCAGGGGGAATAGTATAAGAGCTCATAAATGTTAAAAGGGGGTGATAATAGTGCTCTTCACTGTGGGTTCCTAAAGTTTATGTCTGGTGGTTGTTGGCTCTCTCGCTGAGCAGATTCAGCACACTTAAGTTGTCAGAAGGTTTACCCAGTCAAAACCATGAAAAGTTTTTTTCCAAGTTAATGTTTTTTTTATAAGCTCATGAAAGTGTTTGCCAAAGTCAGAGAAGGGAAGGTCTGCACAATTGTAGGGAAGAAGGAGAGGATGAAGAAGCAACCTTTCTGCTGTATGGTGTCACTACACCATTATCTTGGTTCAACTGTTGATGAAATCTCAGCTTCAGCTTGCACAGAGTTGAACTTAGAAACTGTTCTGGGCTTGATTTGGGCTTAAATTTAGCCTGAAAGACAGAGCTGATGTCACCTTCAATGAATAATGAAGAATTCTTCAGAAGTGTTTATTATTACTTTTTTCTCTTTATAAAAAGTTTTCACAATCTACTAGAGTAATAATCGTTTGTATTTTTGTTCTCTGTCTCTTTTCTCCAGTCAAGGCCTCTTACCCTGCAGGACATTTTGTGAGGCAGCAAAAGAAGGCTGTGAACCAGTCCTGGGTATGGTAAATGCTTCTTGGCCAGAATTCCTGAAGTGTTCTCAATTCCAAAACAAAACTGAAAATGACACCAGTACAAGGGTATGCTTCTCACCACACCAAGAAGAAGGAAAGCAGTGTATGTTTCCATTCTAAACTGTTGCGCTATGCTCGTGAGTTCCTAAATAATAATTTATTTTTTATTGTGTAGGAAAAGCTCTGGGATTAAATTATTATTCCTGGTTCTGTTATTATGTTCCTTCACAGTACTGTGATAAAGCCTGGTTCTGGTTGTCAGTTGGTTATAGTTTTGTTGAGCTTCAATTGTTTAGGCTGAATTTTTTTTAGACTTGTATTGATTTGAGGCTTTTTTGTTTTGCATCAAAAATTCTGAGCTGTTTCAAGGAAAGAAGGTAGGAGAAAAGTAATATGCCCTTTAAAAATGTTCTGCTGACTTTTTCTTTGCTAAGCTTTAGTAAATTCAGGATTGTTATTTGCAGCAGGAACACAGGTCAAATGTCAAATGTATCTCCTTTTTCCTTGCTGTAAAAATGAGCCCAGAACTGACTGAGAGGTAAAAAAATCGTGTTGTGTATGCATCCACTCATAGAATCATTCAGGTTGGAAAAGATCCTTAGGATCATCAAGTCCAACCATTAACCTAACACTGCCAAATCCATCGCTAAACCATGTCCCTAAGCACCACATTTACACATCTTTTAAATACCTTCAGGCGTGGGGACCCAACCACTTCCCTGGGCAGCCTGTTCCAGTACTTGACAACCCTTTCTGTGAAGAATTTTTTCCTAATGTCCAATCTAAACCTCCCCTGATGCAACTTGAGGCCATTTTGTTTAAAGAACCTGAGAAGTTATACACTCAAAACTACTTTAAAAGATCAGTGAGGTTGTATAGTGTATCTTTGAATGTTAGCTAATGCTACAGTTAAGATCGATTGCATGTTCTGGGTTACCTCCTTGCACTTTCTGAATACACGTAATGATACAGCCTTAAATTATTGGACTAAGTCTTTTTACCTCTTGCAGTCTCTCCATCTGTCAGGGCATGTTTTGAGGGGTCATGAAATAAAGGTTGTAATGGATGAGGTGGGGAAATATACAGAGGGATTGTGTCTTGTTGAAGGCAGTTCAATGCTTTCCAGGAAAATTGAACACTACCCACAAGTCTTTTGTGGGGTTCCTATGGGATTTTGGGCAAGTTGCTGTAGTGAAAGCCACTGGGAGCTCTGTTTTAACCATATGACATAAATTTGTGCTAAATGTGCTGAAACAATAGGTCTAATGGATCTCTCCAAATGGGAACTATAAGCAAGTAATTATAAAAATGCATTTTTTTTTTCCCATGCCTCAACTTCCCTTTGTAAAACGGGAATAAAACTGTCCTTTTAGCTCACAAGGGTGTTGTAACCAATTGTGTGTTAATGCTTTTGGTATCATAGTAGGAATTAGGAGTACAATAATTTTGTGTTCATGGCAGGTTCATATAACAAATAAGGTAAGAGGTGGTAGCATAAATTCATTGTTCAGAGTACAGCCCCTTACCATACTTATGAGAGTTAACTAGCAATGAGCAATGAGTGACTAGCACATCATTAATTGAGCACTCTCATACTGGGCACAGAATGAGGTATAATTCTGAAAAAGCAACAGGATGCTAGAGTCCTGGGTTTTATGTATGTGTGATACGCAGACTGAATACAAGTTACGATATAAAAGTACCTATTAAATTTAGATAAATTATAACTGGCCAAAGTGTTCAAAAGTATCAAATATAGATAGTTGAACATTTAGATCAAGCCAGAAGAGATTGCTGACTTCTGAAACTTTCAAGTTTCAGAATATCTTCTGGCTGAAATCATGTATCTAATACTGCTAGAGAAGAAGTTTGTTGTAACAGTGCCTGGTTGATGATTATTCCATAATCTCTATGGCAGGATTTGTATCTATCTGGTAGTGAACTGCTTAAATTACAGAGAAGTACACAGTGGAAGCTTGCTATTTCTCACTAGGGGAAAATATATCTAGAGCCAGTTGTGACATCCACTGCTCCTACCTGGCAGACTCTGGAGACCCAGGCTGCTTACTGGCAGTTCTGACATCCTGTTGTATAAAACAAAATACATTTTTAGTTTATTTTTTCATGAACTATTGTGCATGGTGCTTGGATATGAATAGTTTTCATGTAGAATGATAGACTATAGCGAATATTTTGACTTTTTTTTTATTTAAAAGAATGGTTCTAATGTGATTCCTCTATGACTGAGAAAGGTGAGAGTCCAGGTTCACAATGCTGTTGCTCCTGCAGAAATAAATTTTGCTGTAGTTGAATATTTCTTTCTCCAATTTGTACATTTGAAAGAATTTACTTCTCTGAACACAGTAGAACCAAACAGCAGGGGTTGGTTCACTGTTCCAATCCCTTTTTACCTAGTGCTCAGCCCAAAGTGCTCTTCACGCTCTTCTCAGGGCTCAGTTCCTGGAAATTCCAAGAGCATGTCCTTGGCACATGGTTGCTTATGTCTTAACTTCGTGGTTTCTTCTGGGGACTAATGCTTCCAGATTACATGCAGTGAAACCCTCCCTGCCCACATATGCCTTACGTATAATTTATTTTGTGTGATGATGTAATTCTCTTTTGGGGCTTTGGTTATGTCTTGTATTTATCAAAAATAAGGCCTGGATGCTATACCTGCTTGTTTTAGCACAGTACCACCCAATCCAAAACAAAATCTTCTCTTATTATTTTTGTCTGATTGGGACTAAATAGTCTATATTCTCCACATTTTCTGAATTGAAAATTATCACTCCTTCAAAAAATCCTTGAACCTCGCATATCTTCCAAGCTCTGTTAGAAAATGTATGCTTGACTGATCTTCTAGTTAGAATCCAGAGAATTTATCCTGGGGACAATTACCAGGTTTCCTGAAAAATGTTTATTAGTTAGAATTGGGGTTAGCTAGTAGATATATACTTGTTCGTGTGTCACTGCTGATATTTATCTCTTTGTCGAGATTTTTCCTCCACAGGCCTTGCAAATTGAGCGCACGTTACCACAATGGACAAATTATTATGACATACATTCCTGATGTGACCACAGATGTACTGAATGTATTGGAAAATCTGAGCCATGTGCCATTATAGTAAAACCATCTGAGTGTACAAAATGAGTCACCGAGAAGAAGGTGCAGTTCTGTAGACAGGGTTGCGTCAGTCAGGTTGCTATCCTTTCATGCAAGTTACAAGTGAATACCCAGTAGGTGAGAAAATCAGCTACTCTGAAAATAGTTTTAGGAATCCAGCTGTAGAGGATAGATGGTTGAACTGGTTTCACAGTTCTAAGGAGTTGTAAGCGTGCAAGGGAGTGAGGGGGAAGCATCATCAGTCAGTCATTCCACATGAATCCAGTAATGCATTCTTGAGGCGGGAGAAATCTCAGAAACATTCTTGGGCGCTGCTATGCATATCCCTACTCATGAAATATTCCAGCTCTGCTTTTTTTTTTCTTTCAACTGTTGCTGTGTTTTTCTGTTATTTTATTAGCTTTGACCAGCCAACATAACTGATGCTGTTAAATCTGTGGAGAAAAAAACCACAGTAGTTTGAATGCAAAGTAAAGCAACACAATGAGCTGACTTGATTAATGTGGAGCTCTCACAAGAGCCCTGAAATTATTTTTTCAGTTATTTTCAATGGTAAAGTGCTTTCAAAAGCAGCAGTGAATATGATGCTTCTGCTCTATGTACAGCGACACTGCCTAACAGTTAGCAGTGAACAGGCAATGTTCAATTTTGTGTTATTACTAAAGAGGCATTATGAATATCTGTTTCTGTTAATGAATGATGCACAAGAGGCCTGAACTGCACTTCATAGCCATAAGACTTGTAATGAACAATACTATTTAAGCTATATAAATGACATAGTACATTAAAATTTCAATATAGAATATAAATTCTATTGCATTGTTATGTTGCATATTATTTTAACTGTTAGTTCTTAAAGATATGAAAAAGTATGGCAAAAACCAATGAGACCTTTTTTCCAGTGAGAAGCTTTTTAAATAGCTATCAGTTGTGCCAAATTATGAAAATACTTTTTCATAGCATTTTTTCCAAGAACAAATTTACAGTTTTGTCTTAGGAGATTTTATATCTCTGCAGAATTTTTTTCAATGTTTCAAGCAGTGAAAGTCAAATATATGAAAGTACATTTTTTCAGGTACCTTTTATTGCAAATCCTCCTGTGATCACAATTTCATGCCTACTGGAGTGAATGTTATCGATTTTAGTCCTGCCTCAGATCTAATGGAGACATTAACTTACTTTTTGTTTTCTTTATGTCAGTTTCTTAAAAAATGCTGCTCTTTTCTTTGTTTGTTTTTTTCTGAAGAATGTAAGAAAGGGATTTTACGTGCTGTAATGGTTTCTGGGTATTCTAATAATTCCTGCATTCTATGAATGCATATGCCTTCCTATTAGTAGTTTAAATCTCTAAAAAAGAATAAATAACAAAAATCATGAAAAGGAATGTAAGTAAGTATGTGTGTAGGTAACACATGACATTATAAGTATCATTAAATTAGAAGTAACACAGGACTTTTCTGTAAGACAAATAAATCTATGTGATTTTTCCACTCACAGCAGCAGTTTTTCAGTTGGATACAGTCTTCTATAACAAAAGTTGTAGTAGTTGGTGAGCAGGAAAACCATTGCTGGTAACCTGGATAATCTCCCTTCTTGGCAAAAACATAGACATTTATTATTGGACATGTTGATAAATGTCCTGCAATGTTCAAGGGCATGAAAGGGCTAAATGCACGAATAATTGGAGTGAGCTCTTTCAGCTGTTTGAAGGTGCCACCACAGGAGCTCTTAGCCTGTTTTAAACTGGATAAGAAGCATTTAATTGGAGCACCACATTAATAATATTAGCGATAGTCCTTAACCATTAATGTTTAACATTTTAAGATGCTGTAAAAGCAACTAGTTAATAGATGGATTAACACCACAACTATAGATTGCAGCAGGACTTCTCTCTTATGATAACAGCATTGCCTTTGCCCAAGTTTAGCTTTGAGTTTGCAGTAACTCAGCTGAACAATTCAAACTTCCTTCTAGTGGCT